TGAGACGGAGTTTCGCTCTTGTTACCCAGGCTGGAGTGCAATGGCGCGATCTCAGCTCACCGCAACCTCCGCCTCCTGGGCTCAGGCAATTCTCTTGCCTGAGCCTCCTGAGTAGCTGGGATTACAGGCACGCACTACCATGCCCAGCTAATTTTTTGTATTTTTAGTAGAGATGGGGTTTCACCATGTTGATCAGGATGGTCTCGATCTCTTGACCTCGTGATCCACCTGCCTCGGCCTCCCAAGGTGTTGGGATTACAGGCTTGAGCCACCGTGCCCGGCCTGGCTGTCTTAACTTCTAGTTCAATGAAATTATTGTCATGTCTACTGGTGGAAGTACTCTTCCCTTTGGAACTAAGATCACTAAGCCAGCAGAGCATAATATTGCAGAAGTAGAAGGCGAAATTTTGCTGGCAAGGCACTAGGAATAGAAGTGTTATCTCACCCCTTTCCACCCCTTTCTTGATTTATAGACCTATGAATCCTAGTTATGGAAAAAGTAGCACTATATATTGGTCACTGATTTCGAGGATATATGGCCTCCTAAAGAACCTTGCTCCAATCCTGGAAGATACTGCCACTTAACCGGTGCTTTTAGTTTGTCTTGTAAGGGCCACTTTTCTATCAAGCCAGCTGCTCAGGATGATGGGCAACATAGCAAGTTTAGTAAATTCCATAAACATGGGCCCTTTGCTACATCTTATTTCCTATGAAGTGAGTTCCTTGACTGGAGTCAATGCTGTGTGGAAAACCATGGTGGTAAATAAGGCATTCCATAAGTCTGAGGATGGTAGTTCTTGGAGAAACGTCGTGTGTATGGAAGGCAAATCTGTACCAGAGTAAATGTGTATTCCAGTGAGGAGAAAATGCTGCCTTTTCCATGATGGAAGCAGTTTGTAGTCAATGTGCAACTAGATAGCTTTCCAACTCCTTCACCATCTATTCAAACCATTGGCCATTGCCCATGATTCAGTATATAATCATGCATCTGACTGTTTCCCTTTCTAAGCAATATGAGCAATTGATTGCACTACGTTTTAAAGTTCTGCCCATTGGGAGGACTTTCCTTCACCATGGTACTTAGGAATATCCCTGAAAAAAGCTTTAGTGTTATAGCTGTCTACCTCCAGGTGATGCCTTTATATAATAAGGAACCATCTGTAAACCGGATCTGAGTTTTTTCTTTCTTCATCAACTGATTGCAGATAACTTTCCATGAGGTCATAGCTGAAGGTTGGGTGAGAGCAGATAGTGTAGCAGAAGTAAGACCATGGACATTTGAGCCACTCCTTTGTGTGACTTAAATTTAGTTTTAGGGCTGCTCATGGCTAATCACATAGATAACACTTCCATTTTTTGTTGGAGTGCTGCTGTGCACATCCAAATTTATTGATGGATTAGCTAATACCTAGTTCACAATGGCCAAGTAGGGTCACTTAGTAACTTGGTGGCCCTAGTTCAGTGTTCAATCTCCACCAAGGCCCAGTAGAAAGCCAAAAGCTGTTTCTTGAATAAGACAATAGTTAATCAGCAGAAGATAACACCTATAGGGTCCTGCCAAATACTTCAAAATCTTCCTTATCTGCCACTG